TGAAGATTCCGAAAATTTTGAACATGTAGATTTAACAGCTATTCGGAATAGAGCGGCGCATTACGAAATAATTGATAAACTGTTATTTAAAGGCCGAAAATGGGCAACAAGTCGTTGCAAATATTGATCAGATAAAACCTTACTAAGTTTTACAGGATTTATTACAGGATATTGGAAGGGAGCAAAGAATTCCGTCAAGTCAGAAGTCAAGCTGGAAAACCCCAACACCAAAAAAGCAAGCAGATGGAGAGACCGGAACAATCACCGGCCAAGCAGATTCAAACAGGAAAAGACACAGACTCAGCGAAACGGAGGAAAATAAGGCCTATGGGCCAACACGCCAAAACTGAGGATTCAAGAAAAACACCAGTTCCGCCGGCGAAGGGGGCGAGGCCTGTTGAGGAAGTTCCAGCAAAACAGCAAATTCAACGATGTGCAGAATCAAAGAAACGCAAGCCACGTTTTCCAGTGGCAACGACTACAGGGAGGCCCAAGGAGGTCCAGACTCAAATAGGACAAGAAGGAAAAGACCAGCCGATACAGCCGTGCCAGACCAACAAGTTAGAAGGTCGAATCGCAAGTTGAAAGACCCAAAAGGCAGAATGGCCCCGCCAGAAATCAAGAGGAAACTGCAGTTTCAAAACCCGCAGCCCGAAGTACAAACCCGAGGTTCGTCGACGGAGGACAAAAGAGGAAACGGTAGTGTGTATTGAAAATACGGCAAAGCACACTAGGGCTATCTGCCTAAGGGAAGGGATACCGTCATGGAGGACTTTGTAAGGGAAACTGGCTCGCATACACGTTACACATGGGGAAAACCACGAAAATGCCCATGCAGCCAGTCCGTTCGCGGGATTCGAACTTCGACCGAACTACCTGTGTTCAGCGATTTTACCGCTCGGCCGCTGGTGGGCAAAAGAGGAAAAGGAATGATGGAAAAACGGTACAGATCATTAAAGTCGGAGAAGAAGACTGGAATTATTAAGACATCCGATGTTTTAGCAATTCTGTTTTATCAGAATGGAGGAGTACAGAAAAATGAAAGATGAGTGAAAAATTTCATTGCTTATTTTACATTGAAAAAAGTTCAAATTATGTCATTTTGTTGTAAGTTGCTAAAGATTTTGAAATAAGAAAAGTTAATTTGAAAATTGCGAGAACTTAGTCCTAAATAACTTGTAATCAAAGATTTTTATGTTCTCAATTTGGCGAGAAGCTAGTATCAGTAAATATTTTTGTTAAGAACTCTCAAGTGGCGAGAATTCAATTGTGAATATCTTTTAATCAAAAAGACTCTTTGAATTGTAAAATCTGTTAACTTGAAGTTAAGATTTCATGAAAAGATGGTAAATTGTAATTAAGCAACTATAACTTTTGATGTAAGGCGAATTTAAAAGTGATGTGTAAATACCTGAAAATGTTTATGTTTAAAGAAGAAATGCTAAATGTCTGTGTTAAAGTGTCGTAAATTTAAACTTGTACAAAAGATAAATTTGGCTAACGTGCAATTGAATTTGTGAAAGAATTGAATGTTTTACATATATATCTGGGTTTAATGTTAGACTCTCCAGCTAACATGTTAAAGTTAAATTTAAGTTTTCCTTAGTTTTACATTAGGAAAGTGTTTGTGTATAGGGAGTCTTTTGGGGTCTAGTATGTTAAGTTTAACTATGTTAGACGATGAGTAGCGGTAGATTTGTTCGCGGCAACAAAACATAAGTACCCTAAGTACATTCAAACACTTTCTGGAGAGCATTGGGGAATGAGAAGTTTAAATATGAATGAAAGTTGTGTGAGGGACAAACGATGTAGTAAAGGAGTAATTTTAAGAAATATGGAAAGTTTTGTAAAAGCCAGTACTACTGTTTTTTTTTTCCTTCCAGATAAATTGGAAGGACCAAGAATAATTAATGGTATTAAACGAAAGAAGAAGCCAATGATTGTTTATTCCATTTGAAAAATTTTGTCAAATTTCTAGTTTTAGTCTAGCTTAAGATTTGCTGTAAAGTTGGCCCTAAGTACAAAACTTTAAAGTGCAATCTAGTTATTGCAAAAAAAAAAACTAGAAATGTTGTGTTTAGACTTAAACAAGGTCGTTTAGAGACCTTAATTGTCGACTATTTAAAGTCTTGTCGGGACAAATGTAAGGATTATGTTAATTTTCCTAACAGTTAAATTTTGAGTTAAAGTTTCTTTCCTGTCTTTCTGAATTTCAACTTAGAACTTCCGTCCAGAACGTATTTTTGGAATCGCGTTTGAATGCAAATTGAGGAGAAGTATTTAACCGTGAAGTTCTACTGTCTTAGTTAGAGAGAACCAGTGATTTTGTCTAGCACGCGTTCGCCTTTTTAGGCTACTCTTTCTTAAGTTATTATTACGCTCGGCCGTACTTTAGGCCCTTGTAAGCTTCCTCTTTATTCAGCTTTAAGAGGCCAACTCTGCTAGAATTTTGATAGCTTCGGCTATAGCTTTTAGTTAAGATTAGTTAAGTCTTTGTTCTTAGTTTCTTAAGTTCAAGCCCAAGTGGCGGCTTTATTGTAAAACTCCAAGACGGAGTCTGTTAAATCTTATTGGAATAATAAAGGGTATTTAACCCTTTTCAAGTTTTATTTACTGTCTCACGAACTCAAGCGATTATTCGCTTACCAGTTCTTAAGATTCTTCACATTCAACTGTAACTTAAAAGTAAACAGTACAGAATCTTACAAAGTGAATCGGTTCCAGAGCGAATCGTCCATCCTTAGTTGAAAGTATCATAACTAAGAATTGCGTTGGCTGACTTGAAGGATGTTGGTTGCCCACAGGGTAAGCATATAAACTTAAGACTACTTTACAAGACACAGCTTGGCAAGACGGAACGCATACCAAGTCTATCGTGTTTGAAGGTTTATTTACCGAAATTTTGAGAGCAAGAAAATGCGCTAATTTCAAGGCAGTAACAGAAAGGGTAAAATGGAAATCACTCTTTTAGAGATAAAATTTAGTAGCTATGCATTTATTGTATAAAATAAAAAAAAAGAGCTTAACAGCTTGGACCTCACAATCAGCGCGGGCCAAATGCATGATATATAAGTAGTTGACGGTCGCAATAAAAACAAATTGTTAACCAAACTTAAAGAAATAGCTAGATATTTGTGTTGTGCATCAATTTACAGTGTTTAATGAATTTACGAATGTTAATATTTGTGAATTAGTTCTTAATATATTTTTGTTTAGACTCATTTTTCATTTGAATAATGGTAAAGCTTTTAATAAGTTAGTAAAAACAACTGTAAAGCTAAAAAGAGGGTGTATGTTCATTCTCACGAGACTACCCACTTGGAGGCCATAAGTCGGAGGACAGCTGCGCTTCTGTCCTTCTGTCTTAAACAGCACACATGTTTCGCTTGTTGGAGGCGAGAAATTTTCGGTTTTCTTCTGAAATGAGAATTTTCTGCTTTGGTTAAATAATAAAATAAGGTTAAAATTATTAATTGAAGTTTAGCGCGAGAACTGGGTATGTCACTTTCAAAAGGGAGGTAGACTTTTGATTGCCTTTTTCTCGTTGGTTGGAGAGAGTTCAAGGTAAGTATTGGATTGGATATGAATTTATAGTTAATTGAGCCAATAGTGAATATAGAAGCGATCCGTACTTTAGAGATACCGAGGTTTTAAAAAATGTTGCGCGAGAGACAGCAGCACCTTATTGAAAATTACAGATAAAAAAAAAGAGAGAGAGAAGGGAAGACAGATAGAGCTTCCTAGGGCCGGCCGAGGTCTGCGAGTTTAGTTTTCTCGGCGTAAAGGAATTTAATTGACGTGCTTCTTGACAGCCCTCCCGGCCGCGAATGAAAAGTCGCTTGAGAAAAATTAATGAGTGTCAGTGTTCCCGTAGCTGACAAGATGAGCTCTTTTCGTCTACCCAGAAAGGTTTTACCAGCCGCCGCTGAGAATTTGTGCTTGAAATTTTGGTTTTCTTTTCGGTTTTCCTGGCTTGACATATCTTTGAAGCAAGATACGGAGTATCGCTAACAAGGGAATAATGGTGAAGAATATGTGTTTTGGACGGTGCAACATGCAACTGTATTTCTCCCCTCAGAGATGATGGACATATTGGAATTCGCTAAGAGAACAAATGGGGACGAATATTTGATTTGGACAGTGCAGCGAGCATCCTTCAGTGACTGACATATATCTAAGTCTTTCCAGGCTTCCCATTTCTTGGGCTCAATGTTTCGCTTGTGTAAATGGACCTTAGCTGCTCAACCACAAAGTAATTTATGTTCGATGGTGACCTTTCATCTGGAAATATTTTCTTGACCGGAAAGCAATGTATGCTTATATTTTAACAGCATAAGCACAGTTTTATTACTAATACGAATTAATTCTGAGCTCTGTACTTTAAGTTCTCTGCATCATCAGTTAGAGTAGATGATTTAAATGTTCCAGATTAAACTAGTAATTTTACGACGGATGTTTTATATAATAAATTGACCACGGCTACTTACCCATTTCTGGACTATGTCACCGAGTTGAGGTGTATCTTCCTGAGTAAATTCCTTATACTGGAATATATATTGCGGAAATAGATAATAGAATTTATCAAGGATAAAGTTAAAGGTATGCAATCACAGCTTGAAATTTTAAAGCCTTTTTGTTTCGTCAAAATACGGCAATGAATAAAGTATTAAGTTCACGACGATTTTAGCCGTGCAAAGAAATTTCTGAAAGATCAAAAAACGTTTATTAACACCAAATTTGACACATTTTGAATATAAACTTTACCATACTAATAAATGTGATATTTAAATGAAACGAAACATTTCACGAATTATCTCTGAAAAAGGCTGCATTAAAATTATCTTGCATGAATATGCAAAGATATGTAAATTATTTGCAGAATTTCTGTACGATTTTAAGTATGCTTATAAAGCTTTATTTTGTTATGGAGAGAATTTCAAATGCAATTTAAGAGTTTATGTTTGTATGCAATTGCTTTTAAAAATTAAATTACATTTTAGGGAACTCAAATGTTTACGTAACACGATTCACACGAATTTGATGGTGACGTACTTGCTTATTGACATAACGTGGATACTGACGGCCACTTTGCAATCTCATCAAAACCCGACGACAGCCAAGGTAAGTTTAAATAAAATGATGGTAACAATTTAAAAAATGTAAATTCTTAGTTGTTACTGCAGTTTATTCTATTTTACAAAAAAATCTTATGTGTACACCACATGACTTCCTTATACAGAATATTAAATTACACGCAGTTTTCCTGCATTTCATTTAAACATACTGAATTAACAGTTAACGAATTTTGAATTAAATCTACTTCGTCGATGGCGCATAAACCACAATAGAATTAATGCACTCTTTAAAGTTCACTATATTTATTTATCATAGCGACACTTTGGCCCTAGGTTCACTAAACAGCGCTACGTCTCATTCATTTTATAACTCGTGCACAAAAATTATATCATCCGAAGAACTACCGAATGCTCTATTCAAATACTATAATAAATCTAAAACGATGTATAAAAGAAATTAAACAAATAATCAGTTCTACAAAAAATACGTTAATTTGCGTCTATGTTATACTCCTCCAATAGGAGGAATTTGTTTGAATTTTAAATCTGAAAGCCCTCATAAGTCTTCGTCACTTTCTGACAACCCTTTTCCACGTATTTTTAGCTCAGTTTAATTTTAGAAAGAAATCGTATCGGAAGCAGGTATGCTAGCTTTTTTGTTAATTAGATTTCTTCACGAATTACTCTGCCTTTTGGTCTTAACAGGACCCCTCTTTGTCAAGATATTTTCATTAGGAAAAGTTTTAATTTTTCACACTAAGGGGCCTGTTCCTTGAAATGATGCATATTAAAATTTTCAGGATTAACACTGGATAATCTGATTGTACATTTGCCTAACTAGTCTGATTTGTATAGGATTTTTCTTACATCTTTTAGATGACTTTTTAAGATCATAAGTTTTCTTTTTTGTTTAAAATTATTAGCTTTTATCTTTAGTTTTACTTAAACATATTTATCTTTTAGTTTTACTTACTACATAACATTTGAATTTCACTTAAAATTTATTTTTTTAATACTTAAATACGTAAAAGAAATATTTTAGTACTGTTGAATATATTTTAGAGACATTAGGTATTTTTTGGAACCAGGAAAGATGAAAAATTAGCAACGCCTTCGCCGGGAATCGAACCACGGACCTCTCAATTACACGCTGAGCGTGCAGACCACTACACCCCGAAGGCTTCTTAAGAAGGTGGGAGAAATACGTTATAATATTATTATAATTATTCCATTCAATTTATAGAAGACACCAATTAATATTGATAGTTCATTCCAATTTCTTTTCGAATAGTTAAACGGGCTTGCTACATGAAGATTTTGACAAGTATGCTTAGATTACGGGACGGCTTTTGTTAAAGTCCTGGATAAAAAAGATCCCTTCCCTTAACTCAAATGCGCATTCCTATAATTAATTAAGCAGTCCACTCCATAAAATTGTTCAATTTTAATAATCTTTTTTAATGAAAGCATTGTATTTTAAATCTAAATTGTGAATAACCATCGAGTAGTCTTTGTAGATATAACCCGCGACGAAATACTTTTTATGGATTCTATTCTCGTATGTGTTTCCTCCTATATAAATAAACATAAGCCTATCTTCTACCAAAAGATTTCTAGAAAATGTTTTCCATCGGAAGCAAATGTGCGAGGTCATAATCTAATAATCCCACATATCTGAATTTGAACCGGTTTATTTTTGGTAAAATTCGAAGGAAGCTGGCTCGCCTGAAGATCCTGGAATAAAGTGCTTGTAGCCTCTGTAATTTATCATTTCATCTTCCTGAGTTCATAGATTAAATCAAAACGGTATAAACAGCGCAGAGAAACGTACTGCGCAATGAGGTACGGGGATTGTATACAGGATTCTTTTAAATTTTACAGATTTTCATAATATTTGTTAAGAGTGCTCTGAAAATAATTGTTCTGTAGAATGCAAAAATATATTTCTTGTTGCGTCCCACTGCACTGTACTAGTCAGTTTAAATTTTACAGGTAAAGGTTGATGCCGTTACTAGGTACATGGGGTGAACAAGGCCGGTACCTGTGCATTTCCGTAGGCACTTGAGATCCCGCGAGCAGTCCGAGGGTCTCCTACCTCTCTACCCTACTTTTAGTCTTTCAAAAGGATTTCGTTTGCCATGTATTGTGAGCATTCTCTGGCTACACAGACGTTATATCCTTACAAACATCCATGCCCTTCTGGAATTCAAAACCGGGCCTCTTAGTACGGCAGTCAGCGTCACTAACTACTGATATTCCTTTTTGCATTTAATAAATGCCATCTCTTCTGCTGGCTGTGATCTTGCAACGAGTGGTTAACTCCAGCTGAGTTGGTAAACAATTTCGCATGAATATTTCAAGTGTATCCGGGTTGAGAGCCAACTCAACGGTTTACTATTCATAATCACAATCTCATCTGGGAGGCATATAAAATTTACGGTGTAATTTAGCTTAACCATTTTCCATATTGCAGTGTAATTGTCAAGCATTTAAGTATCTATAAAATTCTTCATTTTCTTAGATGGCCTGTTTCTTGGTCATTTTGTTAACATACTTAATGGCGACAAACTTCTTTTGGATGCTTGTTGAAGGATTGTACCTCTACATGCAAGTGGTTAAGACATTTTCCACTGACAGCGTTAAATTTAAGACGTACGTCGTCATTGGATGGGGTAAGTAAATTCTTATTTAATATTTTGGTTGCAACCATTTGATTTACAATGATCAAAGTTTACCGTTTCAAAATGTTAACAGTAATTTTGTATCCTTGTAGAATTAAACTCCTATTGCAGTTTCGGTGTAGTTTTCCTGTTGGAAAGATTTTTAAAATTCAATTCATAACTATGCGTGTTCTTTCGTAGGATGCATTTTATAATTTTAAAACATTAATAAATATTTTACTGCTTTTCCTGAATGTCATTTGTAAAATAGTTTCAAGAGATTTTCACTAGTTATTTTAATTTTATTCGTAAGAGTACCATTCAGTTTTCATACACTTTTAATTTTTATATTCATAACTCCTTTCAATTATTTCAAGCTTAAACATTCTTTTAAATTAACTTTTGTGCCGTAGTTTATAATACATTACTAGTTTTATGGGTGTTTTTTCTGTGTGTAAATATAAGCCAGTTTCAAAGTCGCTGAACACTGGTAGTTCGGTCCGAGGTTCGAATCCCGCGAACGGGCTGGCTGCATGGGCGTTTTCGTGGTTTTCACCATGTGTAACGTGTATACGAGCTAGTTTCCCTTAGAAAGTCCTCCACGAAGGCATCCCTCCCCTTAGGCAGATAGCCCTAGTGTGCTTTGCCGTAAACTCAATAAACCAAACTAAACCATAAGCCATTTTCATTCATAAAATCCTCTACGAAAACATTACTACCCTTAGCATGAAACGTCTCGTTATGTCTTTTTGTAATCAAGAAAACGAAGTAAAAAACGTTGTTGCAGTGTGCATCTTTATACTGAAAATATAAATGAAAGCATCTGACTTTAAGCAATTCGTTCACAGAATTAATATTTCTACGCATTACATTCTCAGTTACCGTCTTTGTAAGCTTTCGTGTAACTTCCCTTACTTTTGAAAAATTCGAAGTATATTTTTATTTGAGAAATACTATTAATTTGGATTTTGATGAATTTGTCAAATTCTTTATTTACCATTGACCTTTAATCAACAAAACCTGCAATAATTGGTATTCCAATTGCAATTACTTCCTTTCGTTTCATACTGTCATTACATAAATATTATTTCACTTTAATGATATTTTTTTATGTTTATAAAGTTAGAATTTGTTGCATGTTTCATACGTTTAATTTACCAATATTTTAGCTCTTCTGTCGAGGCAATTTTTCAAGACTTGTTATTTCAAATAGCCTAACACTTGTATTAGTTGGAAAACCCGTTTTCATCACCGATAATTTTGCTCAAGGTGAACCGCAAGGGACCTACCGATTTTACATCTACAAGAATGGAAAATTCCGTCTCAATTTTGATTTAGAATATTCTGGGAGACAGATTCGGGGTTCGCCGAACCCTCTTCCCCTGCCACAAAGCACACCGAGAAGGTTTTGTATCACCAGTATTTTGAGTGCCGAATTATACAAACTTGCTTATATCAGAGCTTTCCCTGGAGTTGGAAACTGAGCCCATCTATATAGAAGCCAGCAGCCCTGTACCTATTATCGACAGTGTTTTTGTCGTTTTCGTTACTTTCCGTCTCTCCAATTAATCGAGCAATTGTGGTTCTAAGTTTTTTCATTCAACTGCCTTGGAGGTGTTGACCAAAGAGCTATGCATTGTAATCGTGAAAACTCATAACAGAAAATGGTAGTGGTATGCAAAGTCGGTTCTATAATTTGGCGCAGTTTTTTGAGATAATACCTTCAACGAAACGATTATTATGAGATTGATAAAGAAATTCTAGTTATTCGAGATATTTTCAATCATAAACTCGAACTGATGAAATCGTATGAATCCAATGCAACAACACATAGCAGATATTCAGGATAACTTGAGTTTGAGGCCCAGACGTAGCTTCGCCGTCATTCGCAACAGCTAACAGCAGTATTTTACCGTGATATCGAACATTTAAGTGACCCATGCTTACCGTTGTGCTAAAATTTGCTATATCCACAATTGTTGGGAAAATTAGCATCATGGGTGCAATATATACTGGTAAAAGATCCTGTACATGGATTCCGTTTATGCAGAAAATTAATGGATCATCAGGAAGTAGAAAATTTTCCGACTGGATTTTGACAAAACAAGAAGAGGAAGAGATTTTCAAAAAAAAAAAAATCTTATGAGAACGAAACTTATTTTCAGTTGTTTGTTTTTGTCAAAGCAAATTGCTTCATTTGGAGTTAACAAAACGCTGTGATGATATCCAAAAGCGCCAAATGGAGCTTCGTCTAAGGATTATATGGTGTGGCTTAGGGGTACTCCCCCCCTTTTTTTTAAGAAGAAGTCATTAAAAATGCAGGTATGATGGTGATCATTTTCAAGACATAATCATAAACATTTGTGACCTGCTCTGGATGAAATGGATATCGCGAATATGTAAGTTCAGTAGGAAGGGAATACCTGCCACATATCTCATGAAGGTTCGAATCCCGCGAACGGGCTGGCTGCATGGGTGTTTTCGTGGTTTTCCCCATGTGTAACGTGTATACGAGCCAGTTTCCCATAAAATGTCCTCCACGAAGGCATCCCTCCCTTAAGACAGATAGCCCTCGAGTGCTGTGCTGTAATCTAATAAACCAAACCATATCTCATGAAACCAATAATTTTACTTCATGAAAACAAATTTTGCGCATGATCTCACTCCATGATGGAGACCAGAGAATAACTCGGAAGGTCTTGTGACCTCACATTTTGTGATTTTTATATCAGGTTGAATGTTTAAATGAACAAACCGCAAACAATTACTAAACTAAACAGAGACATTCAACAGGCGCCTGGCGAAATCAACATATACGTTTATAAAAGAGTCATCGTAAATTGCTTGACGGTAAGGTGATGTCTACATATGGCAGATTTCGGTTTCCACTCCTAAACTGAAGTGCATATGGAAGCAAATAAAACCAAAATTTAGTTTTTTTATACAGAATTGGAGAGTACATTTTGAAATTTGAAATCTGTGCAATTTACGAAGCACTCTGTATTTTTATTTTTTATTACCTATACCATAAAAGTTGTTGATTTCAATTACTACAACTATAAATTTTTTCTCAAAATTAAACGAATTTGTTAGAAAAAAATAAATACAAACAGTTCATGTACATTCTTACAGGCATTCCAGCTATTGTAGCTGCCGCTTGGGCTGTGGTAAAAGGAGTAGCAGGTGGTTCACCTGATGAACCTTTTGCACAAAGAGGGTGAGTATCATTCGCGTAGTGTTATTATATACTTTTGTAAATATTCATATTATATGTAATTGGTTTCTGTATATTGTTGCAGTGCAGGCCTTCGTTTTTTTATTTATTTATTTAATTCATAATGTGTAAAATGTGTATTCAATGAAATTTTTAAATTTTACCACCTTGTTTGTTAGTATGTTATGTATTATATCGTAGATTGTTTAATTATAAGTTTAATTATATCTGAAGTGTCAGGAAGCTCAAGCAGAGTTGGATATTTGGGTAGAAACTCTCCTGCGGACTTAAACGGCAATTTTGTATCTTCATTGGTGGAACTGGGCAATTTCTTGCCAAATGGGCAACATTATGAAATGATTCTAGAAATGGCAATTTCGAAAAGTCTAAGAGCCCTTTACTTAAAGCTTCTAGAAGCGGTTTTCTTCCCATTAAGTAACCTATGAACAAGAAGTTGTCAGCAGCCGCGAGTTAAGTAGTTGAAGCCGCGAGTTAAGTAGCTGATTCAGACTCTTACCTGCTGTACATTGCCAAGATTTTGGTGCTATTCTATATTTCTGGCGGGCTAAGGAGATTTTCTGATTTCTCCTAGAACTGTTTACTTTGGTTTATATTGGCCTTGAGAATTTTTATCTTTTCAATAAAATTGGAAGTTTTCCTGTTCATGTAGGCTTAATTATTTAAGAATAACTCTATATACATGCAGTTTGTAATAATATATTTATTTCATTTTAAAAGTGAAATGACTGGAACGTGTAATAATGGTACAGGAGCGGTCCCGACTGTTAGCTTATTTTCTCCTTGGTGTTTTGCTCGTGTGGCCACCTATTGGCACAGATAATAAGTCTGTGCTATCAGACGAGTTATGAGACCCCCAAATGTTCTTCAAAGTGATAAATGATCTTGGGTGTCTAACGTGGGTCGATTTTGTAGCAGTGAGGTATATCGCAGCACCATCACAAAAGTGCACCTATGCAGCTCCTCCGATATGTGAACTGTTTTCTGGTGCCAGCGTCTGATTTGCCACACAGTTGCTACAGAACCTTTTATGATATTTTAATCAAAAATGTAACTGTTTCTCATATTTGAAGACCCTTTTCAGCTTTTGAAATTAAATGTCGTAGTAAACGTATTAAACAAATATTGTGGGTAAACAAATTAAAAAAAATATCATGTATAAATTAAAATAGTGTTGTTTATCAAGGGATTCTTAAAGCAGTGTTATATAAATAAGAAGTAAATGCGAGTAGTTCTTGCGCAAAATATAAATCATTCTTCTGTTGCAATTATTTTTAATCATAACCGAGATGTGAATTTACCAGTATCCATAATTTTTACTTAAAATCCGTATTTTTGTAAAACCTATTCCATATTTTTCATCTAACACTCAAAATATATTCATAAAGGTTTAGTCATATTGCCAGTTAATGATAAAAAGGTTTCTCACTTGTCCTTGTTAAATCCATCTTTAGTTCCATTTTACATTATTCATCTGAAATAAGGGATGGTCTTACCAATAAGCGAGGAGTTAAGACCACTAAACACTAGTAGTTCGACCCGAGTTTGAATCTGGACGAACGGGTTTGCTGCATGAATAATTTTCTTAGTTTTTTCCATGTGTAATGTAAATGCTAGAGAATTTAGAAAGTTATCTAAGAAGGCCTGGTGGGCTTCGAAATCATCAAATACCATAATCTAGTCTAAAATATCTAAACATTTGGTATACATTACACACACGGAATCTAAATGTGTTTTTGTGATCCTCAGAATGTGTTTTACCGAAAAATAAAAGGCGTAGGGAAATATATACCACTGGCAATTCTGACTTGCTTATTTTAGTGTTGGAAGAAGAAATAATACAGGATTGCACTTTTTTCGTAGATGTCTTTATATGCAAAAGTTACGAAGATGGGGAATGAAGAATTCTATTATATTTCCGTGGATAAACTCAAACTCAGATACTGTATGTCTTATTGTGCATTTTCTGTAGTGTCGTCGGTAATGCCTATGCATTTTGGAACATGCGTATAAATAAATTATTTGAGAAAGTTTTATTCGACAGCTTTGCTTGAAATGGGTTTTGCTGATTTAATTCAATCTTATTATTTTTTTTAAATCTTTGACATGTGTTTAGGTTTTGCATTAGAATTCGTATCATTACTCATTCATTTTCGACAAATTGCCACTATCAAGGGAGCGATAACTAATATTTATACCATTCTCAAAACTATCACGAAACCGGGAAATTTATGTTCAATCATAAACGAAGGACTGTATCAGTTCTGCAGTGTTTTACTTCGTAGCATTAATGAAATACTGAAAGAAAAGCAAATAAGCACAGATGATAAAAAATCTTTCCTGGGCAATTTATGAATTTTTAAAAATTAAATGCTTACCGTTGAACTTATTATTTGAAATGTCCCGGGGTTGTTGCAACTGAACACTTAAAAGTTTAATTCGTTAAAAAAGAAAATCGTTTCAAATAACATTTATGATGAGCGTATTACGATGAGAGTCATTAGGTTATTTTGAAGCGGGAGATGTAAAAAATGGGCAGTTCCCTTGCCAGAACTCAAACCCTGGACCTCTCTAATACGCGTCAAGTATGCTTTCAATTACACCACGAAGGCATGTAGAAAGTAGCGAGAAATGCATTATATGCTCGTACGCCCTCTTTTAAAGGCCGACTGGAGATTGGGGGGCTCAGTCGACAAATCCTAGTGGTGATGAATTATCGTTTACTACCTTTTGATTTCGGGCGCCACTTGTAGAGTCATTAGGTTTTTTGAAGCAGGAGGCATGACAAATGTGCATTGCCCTCGTGGAACTCCACACTGGACTTCTCAAATACGTGTCGAGTTTGCCGAAGGCATGTTGAAAGGAGGGATAAAATATCTTATAAGTGTACTTTTAATTCGGTTTAAGTAATTACTTATGACATTATTTTATGTTCCAAATGATATCCAGTTAAGAACTGTGCAAATGCGAGATAGTTTCTTCAGAATATTATTATTTTATGACATATTTGATTTTCAAAAATTAGCTTCAATTGCTTAGGCAATAATTAATAGTTAAAAAGTGACTGTTCGTTATAAAATGCAGTTATATTTTATAAATTTTAAACAAGAAAGCACAACTGCATACGAAATTAAAAAAAGTATTTAATATAGATGTCCTTGCTTTATGATATGATGAGCCTTTGAAGAAAATTAGAATTAAGCATTCAGGTTGCAAAATAATATGCCTTTAATATTTTTTTTTTTTTTTTTTTTTGTTTTCAATTTATTTTTGCAAAGAACGATTACGTTTTAACCAGACAGCAGAACATAATTTATCTATACGTGAATATTTTTTCTTCTGTCTTTCAAAGCTTAATAATCTAAAATTCTCTTTTGTGAAAATAAGTAAATTCATTATGTGTTATACTGAAAGACGAATTTCATTCTTTTAAACCTTTTATATTCCATCTGTATGCGTTGATCTTTTTTGTGCTTTCATTTTCATATACCCATTTATTTTACTAAATAATATTTTATGTATTGTATTCTCTTACCGCAGTTTCCTTTGTTAACTTGAAAAAATAATTTGAGTGATATTCCGAATTAGCAAGATATTCGATGTATTATATTAAGATTTCTTTTTCTGGATTATTTTCTGATCATCGTTGCGTGTGATTTCAATTTTAAAGAGTGCATGAATACGCATTTTTAAACTAAATGTATGCTTATAATCTTATGAAATTTTTGAATTCTAAACAATAAGCAAAACGTTAACCTTCTGAATATAAAATGCAGAAATATATATTGTATTACAAATGTGAGAAAATCTAAATTCGCAAAAATGAAATAATGAAAGGGAAAAGTCTCGCCAGAAGCGAGCACGAAAACCTGATTAAACAAAGTACATTGACAATTAAAGTAAATAATTTTCAAAACGGCTTTAAGATTTAACTGTAATTAATAAGCATTTTTACTTCTCTATACAAAGTAAAGGAATTATTGTAATGTCAAAAAATTTCGGATATCATACTTCAACGAAAATATATATTTTAAACTTTCTGGCATTCATTCAGACGTTTTTTTCCCGTGACGTCTGTACATACGGACAGAATAAATGGTTCTTTTTTCCAAATGAATTGTAAAATGGATTTAAAATAGATTCAAAAGGGACTTTTTCTATAACGTCTGTACTTAGGTACGTCAGTTATCTCGCATAACTTAAAAACAATTAGCCGTAGAACGTTAAAATTTTGAATATAGGACTGCTATAAGATTCAGTTGTGCACTTGCATTTTGTATTGCAATTGTCAGACAAATGTACATATATATGTTTATACCTATTCCCTTATTCAGCTTAAAATCATTACCCAGGCTTTATTTTCGCAATAATTGGTGGTCAGAGTCATATACATCAAATTACAGACGTGTTTTAAATGATGAAATCCCACAAATAATGAAATCTAACTTTTAATGCGTTCTCCCTGTTCCTATACTTGTATTTGGGAAAGTTAAATAGTCGTTATGAAAAAATGAAATCATAAGAAATTTGACTACCTTAGGATAAAAATTGACCGGGATATCTAATTTCAAAATTTACAATTTTGTATGCCATTTTCAACTCCTTGAGTTATCAGTTTATTAAGTTAGAATAATTCGTGGAAACAAGTTTAAATGAAGGGCAGCAAAAAATCTATATAATAAATTAGAACGTGCAAGGAAATCATGTGGTGTCCATATCAGACTTTTTAAATTTGTAATCATACTTAAAACGTGGAAAGTAATGGTACTCTATGTGTTTTATAAGAAACTGCTATTTGCCTTTAGCCAATAAGGCTACAAAAGTGAAGTTTGTGCCATCATCTGGCAAAAGGACCCTTTGCATGTCTTTCAAAGTTCGAAAAATTAATTTTAGAGTTAGCAACAAAAATATTGTTGACGCATAGACTAGATGTAGGCGGAATTACATTTTTAGAGGATCAAATTAGAACCGTTTGCTCACTGAACTAAATCAGTTCTTTTTTTTATAATGCATCGCTCATTAAAAATAGACTTGATGAATAAGATCAGGAATGAGGAGAAAATCGAGAGCGGTGTGCGAGGATGAAGCAAAGAGCAGAAAGAAACGAGCAATGGAATCGGAACAATCGACTTCATCAAACTGATAAGACTCTGAACTGATTTCTTTCAACTGTAGCTTCGAGATTTATTAAAACTTCCTTTCTGCGCAGGACTACAATAAAATTCCAGAATAGGAAATTCTTAAAAATGTTAGGAAATGCTAAAAATTAAACTAACCTTTTAACATGGGAATATAATCCCATGTTAAAAGGTTAGTTTAATTTTTACTTTAATTTGTTATCCTCTTTAATGTAGATGTCTGGAGCAAATCTAGAGTAATTCGAATTATGACTTCGAATGACGTATTCCTATATATGGTATTAAATAGAACGAAAGTTATTTGAAATTCTCCAAGTGGTACTCTAAAAGAGTCGCTTAAGAATGCACTCTTGTTAAGCTAGAGATCAGAGATATAAACAGATATTCTACGATGGAACACGTTATCTTATATTTTTAGCAAAGAAAATAAATGATAAATTTTAGAATTTCGTTGCCATAATTAAGTCTGAAAATGTTAGTCCGTAATAGGACTGCATACTTAAACACATTATATGATGACAACATTATTGCTACGGTAAGTGAGATAAGGCCATTATAACGTCCAGTCTTCAAATTGAAAACTAATGCACAACAATATCAAACAGAATTATTTTACCTCCTTTCTCTTGAGTTAGTAATGCATATATAGTCACCTATGTTGTGGTCTTGTGCTCTACGAATATTTTCAGAAGATTTTCTTTAGTGTCTGTTTCAAAATGTAAGAATATGTTTTCTAAATCCCAGTTTACCAGTTTCATGGCCACACTATCATTTTAGTATTCAATCACCCACGTTGCATGTTTAGCTCTATCTTGGTTAATTTATGGTTGACGTTAATTCGAACAGATGACTCTTATTTGAAATGAAACGAAGAAAATAATACACCTCGCACAAAAAAAATTGGGAAAGTCGCATATCTTTCACTTTTATTGGGCCGATGGACGAAATTTAACTCGCGTTTTTCATGTTCGAAAGCGCGACTTAGAATGTATATTAGATTTATATATAGCATTATTCTAACATAAGTATTTTGACTCAAGAGTGGACTTTTTCTGAAATGACATACAGTTTTTTTTCCATTCTATGTTTACATACAGTTTCTATGATACAGTTTCGATTCTATGATACAAATGCCAAAGTGAGAGTTTTGTAAAAATCTCACTAAGAGTTTTTAAAAGATTAGCTCTCAAAATTTCATCTCCTCAATGTTGATTGAAGTTTCTATATATTTATTAAAATCTCTTTTTTATTATACTTAATTGATTGCTTCTTTCATATTTCGAAAATTAGGTTCATTCCAAATAAAATTCACAGATATTTTCTGATTTATTTTGAAATTTTGAACGTTTTAGTAATTTAAAAAAAACGTTTCGAAAACTCTTTTAATTATAACCTTTAAAATTTTTGCCATCACCTTAAAGTAGACGTATTTCTAGGCTTACCTGCAAAAAATTAGAGTTTTTAATTCCAAATTTCCTAAGATATACGTGAGTTTATATACAGGCGCATTTTAAAATTTGATATATTTCTTATCAGCTATAATAACGCTAAATATGCTTTAGGCACTCTGTTATAATTAATTGAAAGAAAGAAAGATGTACATTTTTTTACGTTCATGCACAATGAAAAAAGGGAAAGGAAAATAGGTTGCTATAACTTAAGAATTATTCTTATCATTAAAGTAAAATTAGCTTGGCGTTCTTTTTTCAGCTTCTTTTTTCAATATTTAGGCATAATTTGAGTCGCAGAATCCATCTCTGGAAAAATCGGTATGTCATTTTAGAAAAGTCCGATTTTGTTTTAAAAATACCTATGTTAGAACAATACTGTATATAAATGAAATATATATCCGAAGTGGCACTTTAGATATATGAAAAGCGCAAGTTAAATTTTGGTAATCGGCCCAGTAAAATGGGAGATATAGAACTGTCACATTCCTTTTTGTACAAAGTGTATGAGATTTATTTTCAATATAGTTGCTTTGCTGGCTAAGTGTGCAATATACAATTCAGAAAAGATTTACGAATTATTTTGTTGAAAGAAGAATCCATATAATTTTAAAACATGCTGTAGCGTTTCGAATATTTTACATCTCCCCAAGTGGTTCGTATCTGACATTCTGTAAAACTATATGCATTGAATTATAACAGTGTTTCATCTTTCACTTTTTATTTTTCTATTCTGTAGGTGTCCATGGCAGAATAAAGATTATTACGATTACGTCTTCAGCTGTCCAGTGATGTTAGTATTACTGGTAAATATTTTTTTATTTTCTCCACTGACAGTATAAGAAATAAAGACATGATAACTAAACTGTTTTTAAAAGCAGGACCAAAACAATCATACACATTTATATTCGAGTCCTCTGACTGGTGTTAAAATGCCAAGTTTATTCATAAAATAATTTTACATTTTATGTTCTTTAACCTGTAACGTTTATGTCTGTAACAACTGAATAGTTTTTTAAAGATTTTGTAACTCTATTATTTCGAGAATTTTCAGATAAATTTGATCGAAATTTAAGTAGGTAGAGATGTTAATTATGTATTGAATATGATGTCTCAAATTAAAATTAAAGTAGATTTATCTTATAAGTAAATAGATTTCGCTGTTTTATATATCTATGTGTAGGATATTTCATAAATTTTGCAGTGGTAAATATCTTTTGAATTGCTAACCATAGATCCACAATTTAAGTTAGGAAATTGAAAGACATAATGCACACAATAATTTTAGTTATGTGACACCTTTTAACAAGCAAATTTAATAAAATGTAATGATACAAAATTTATGAGATTTAGATTTTTATATGAGTCTCTATAAATATTGTCCTTTATCTTATTAAAAGGATATAAAACAGAGCGTAACATATAAAAGTTTACTCTCTGGGCGTCAAAATAGCATGATTTATAACACTTTCACCCCGAAGAAAAGAAAATCGAAAAAAGAGACAAACAAAACTGAATTTCATGAAATGCAATAAATAAATTTTGAAATTTTGTATTTCTAAAAATAATAGTTTGAAACCAGTGTTTGTAATAATTTTTTGTAATACCAAAAGTATCTTGAAAAGCTTAATATGCATTTACCAAGATATGTATATGATTTTTCAATTTTGTTTGCTAGTCAAATTTGTTTGTCAGGTAATTTCGATCACATAATCTTATCCAATTCCGTAAATATACACGGCCCATAAAAATGTTTCAATTTTTGCATATTTTTACTAAAAGGTAATATGGAGAAAATCGTCTAAATTTAAAGCTTCATTTCATTATATTCATTTATTAAGCAGAAACCATGAGCCCACAGCTATTCATTCAAAAGATATTTTTAACAGCTCTATGTTTTAACGCTCTATATGTTTTATTATTTACTAATTAAGGTATACAAATTAAATCAAAACTGGTGTTTAATAGTCTAATAGGAAAAACACGCGTCAAAACTGTTATAAAAACAAAACAACTCAGTAAAATAACATAATAAATATAACAAGCAATTGAAATCTCTCTGGTCTTTGTCAAGCAGCAGAATAGTTTTCAACAGAGCCATGTTTATGCATTTTACCTGGATGATTATGAATTCTAAAATAATTTAAAAGTAAATGACAAAAAAAAAAAAAAAAAAAAAAAAAAAAACTGGTAACAAAAAGTTTACAATACAAATAAATAATGAAATAAAATTAATAATAAAAAAAATGTAAAATTCGTAGTTATACCCTGATATTTTATTAAAAAGACTAATATTTTTTTAAATTCTTTTAATTAATTTAATTTGTTCCTCTTTGGCACTGAATTTTAATTTATTTCATGAATTTATAAGCCAGATATATTTAAAAAATGTAGCTCTGTTGAAAATATTTTGGCTGCTCTTTGAAAAAGACCAAATAATTTTCAACTGCCTGTTATTATCTGAAAAGGGGCTATTTGTCTCGAAATGAGATTTTGCGTCGGTTCACTGTAAATGCCGTACGTTTTTTCAAAGCGTTGCCATCAAATGTTATAGCCCTATATTTTTTTTTAAATAACAAAAAATCTGCATGAATGCATGCATGTTCCTGGTACTGCGAAAACCTGACGGTACCGAGCATCAAATTGGTTATAGCCGAAAACATCGAAAACGAAACGCCGCGGAAAAATAACACAAGACGGAAACGTCGTGCTACAAATCATCGTGGGAAAAAAGAAAGCAAAGAGAAAACGTCGTAGTTCTAAAACATAGGGATACCAAATATCGTGGTCGAAAATAAAATGGTTCAAACACATCGCAGTTTAAAGTCATCTTCATCGAAAATATCGTGGTAAAAAATAAAGTACCTACAAATCATCGCATGACGGTAACATCGCACACATGTGTTTTTCAGGTTTTAAAAGTTGTAAATGCATATTCACATAAATATTTCGAAGCGTAAGAAATGTTAACGACACTTCAAGAATAAAAGGAAACAAAACAAGATATAATTTTCACCAAAACAATATCAGATTAACAAACGTGAAAGAAAGTAATTTGATAATAAACTAAGCAATTTGTATAGAGGTAACTAGTTATTTATATTCGTTTTTCTAAATATTTTTAGACTTTATTTTTCATCAAAAATTACCAGTAAAACTTTGTAAAAAATGATTATCAAGTTTCTTTCTTACTTTTCAGTAAAATGTTATTAGTTCTTTCAAAAATATGAAATATAAAAGTAAAAATATCCCTCTTTCCGTCATCTCCCCAATCATTATGCCAAAATGCACTTACTTATAAAAACGGGAAAACGCACTTGTGTGATGCTATCGTCATGCGATGATTTGTAGGTACTTTGTTTTTTACCACGATATTTTCGACGACGAAGTTTTTAAACCGCTTTTATTTTCGACCACGATATTTTGTATCATGATGTTTTAGAACTGCGATATTTTTTCTTTGCTCTCTTTGCTTCCACGATGTTTTGTGCCACCGAAGTTTTCGCCTTGCGTTGTTTTTTCACCACGTTTTCGTCCGCCATATTTTCGGCGGACACCTTCAAATTGTATTAACGTATTTTTCCACCGAACATGTGTACATGGAACCTAGAATTTTCAATTTCGAATTTGTTTTATTATTTGATTTATCTTATAAAACTTGAATGAATTTTCGATTAACAATTTCAACGATTTAAAAGCGAGCAGTGGCAGTACTGCACGGAATAAAACATTTTTATCTCCAACGCGCGAAACTGTCTCTAAAGAATTCTAATGTTATGCTGTTTTTAAATAGTTTGTGCTTTTGCAGTTGAAGTGAGTTTTATGTGGCCTACGTACGAAGAACTTGGTATTTAATATATAAAATCAACTGATTAAAAGTTAATAATAAAAAGGTAGAAAAAAAATTTCTAGCCATGTAACTTAGAAAACTGAATATTGATATGGAGAAAGGAGAAAAGACTGAAAAAATATACAAATGTATGCTAACACTTGACAGTGCAACAGGTATTAAGCATATGCTGCTATGCAGCTTTCAAAAATTTTGCGATTTTGTTATTGAAGTGTGTATGGTGTAAGTTTGATTCTTAATAATTTTAAAAAATGCTTAATAATAAAACTAAAAACAAGAGAGTTTCAAGAGCAGGCTGGTAGACTGCGAGCTCAGCGACAGCGTAATGGGCGACCATTAAAATCTGAAACCTGTCACACTTTTTTATTATGTTATTTTATTTAGCTTTCTCGTTTTGATGTATCTTCTTTCTGTTAGACACTGAACTACCAATTCGGATTAATTAGTATATCTTAATTACTTAAGTAATTTCGCAAGGGCTTTACCAATTTATAATTTTAAATTGAAATTTCCAAACCCTTGTGTATTTTATTATTTACTAATGTAGAAATTCATTCTTACAACATTTCAAATTAACTTCTTATCTATTAAGTTAATAACCTATTATTATATATATGATTTTTACAAAATAGTTATGCAAATAATGTCTCGAAATTTTTGGACCGGTGCATAAATACAGAAGGATAACTCCTCAGACAGAGGAGCGGTCTTATTAGATTTTTCTTCTTCCATCTGATGAAGAATCGAAAGGTAATTCTGAATATTCCGGTAAAAAAGAAAAAAACATAAAGGAGATATGACATTATGTCAATATTTAGGTATTTTATGTTCTCGACGTAGAGATATCAGAGCACTCTGGCTCGTCTTCCTAATGGAAATATAGTGCTAGGAAATAACCGCAGAGTTAGCTAGCTGTCCACATGCACCCATTCATAAAGAGCTGGAGGGAAGAGTTACTTTGGGTGACAAAAGAAAAGACAATTCATCACAGAACGTAGAAGCAATGCTGTAGACCTGTGTGTGATTTCTATATTTCATGGAATAGACTTCTCCCAGACGGACATTCGTTGCAAAGGCAACGAAATGAAATAAAGAGTGTGTCAATGGCTTTGCAGTAAATCAGTGTAGATTTTCATATTTTCGGTAATCTAAAAGATGATGGAGTTGTGACACATTTGTATTCGAAGTTCTCTTTAGTGGAAAATTCCCTGGAAAACTTCACTCTAAATATGAGGAAGAAAAAAAAAATCTGGAAGGATTCATATTTTAACTCTGTGCCAGAGGGTTTGTTAAGACTTTTGTGGTCTTGCTAAGCTTGCAGTTTACCAATCTGCTGTTATTTTCATTCATGCTAAAGCAATTTGTTTTTCGTTTTAGCTATTAATAAACGTCGCTTTTTCATACTGTCGCCGTGTAAAACTCAACAACAAAATATTTAAAAACAGTATATCTCAAAAATTCCGGATAAAGTGTTGCCATACATTTTTTTATATTCGCTACATTACTTCCTTATAAAAATTAACCTTTTGGGTTGCCTAAGGTAGTTACCATAAAACGAAAATGAATATGATGATTATAATATCAGATAATAAAAATTTGACATCAGATTATGATAAATGATAATATAATAACATAATGGTATAATATTGTACGGGTACTGAAACTTTAAATCGAATTTTCACAGCATTGAACATCGAGTACGAATTTGTAATAAATTTAGGGCACACAGGTCCGATGCTTTGTTGTTAGGTTTTCCAGATTATATCATAAACAATATCAAATCCTACCTTACAGGTAGACACTTTGTCGTTCATGTTTCTGGCACATATTCCACTTATCGAGTTATTCGAGCAGGCCTCCCACAAGTCCCTAATTGCTCGAAATAATGTTCCATCCATAGAAAATGAGCTACTCATTTGTAAGTCCATTCTGCGGCTCATGCCTTGTAATGCATGC